TTAAGCAACCAGAACTGAGCAGCCTTGGAGTCATTAATTAACTTGGTTACATTGTCAGGGATGACGCGAGTGACATATTTTGGGGACACCTTCCTGTGGCTCACAAGTCACGTATGGCACGTGATGGAATCAAGGAGAAGAATTAAGATGGTAAACAAGGTGGAGACCTTTTAAATAAATATTTACAGCATTTGAAAAAGATATGGCAAAACAATTTTATTCCTCTGTTGTTCCTCTGCCAATGAGGTGCCAGATGTTATGCAAACAACCAGGGAAGATTAACTTAAAGCGTACAATGATAAGCTTTGGAAAACATTTTTTCCAGGCAGCTTTACTGTCAACCTAGCATACTGCATGAACACTACTTACAACCAGAGAAAAACTGTTTTAATGGAAGTGTCAGCTTAAGTTTACAATATCTATTAGGGCTGTGCGAAATTTTGCCGGCAGTTTCATTTCTACGCTGTTTTGACTCATTTCAAGCTCAAAACAGAGAAATCAAAAACAGAGAGCTTCCAAACAGCCTCAAAACAAAACGAGGCAAGTTGAAATGTTTTGAAATTTTTTTAAACATTTCGAGTTTCAAAGCTCAAGCTGGGCTTGCCTGCAGGGAAACAGAAACAGAAACTAAGGAGAGGGAGGGAGAAAAGGGGGGGGGGGGGGAAGGACTGCTCTCATATTGACTGTGTAGCCGGCCAGTGACTATCATCCTTTCCCCAGGTCCCTTCCAACCACAGTGCTCTGGGGGAGGCATGGAAAAACTGCATAAAAAGTAGCATTGTTTGAACTGCCCTGCTTTCTGCCTTGGTGTCAGCTGAGTGAGGGCAGACCTTAACACACAAACAGCGTCACCCCCCCATGGCACAAGGTTTGCCTGTCAGCAGCTAGAGGTGCAGGGCCCCAGAACCCACACTCCCCCTGCACCTAGCTCCTTGATAGCTGGCAGGCTTCATGGCCACAACAGGGCCTAGCAGGCCTGTAGCTTTCACCCCGCTGCGCCTTAACACACAGTCACCCATGGCACAAGTTTTGCTTGTCCACAGCTTGAGGTGCATTTTCCCCCAAACCCCTACACTTATCTCCTTGAAACTTGGCAGGCTTCATTGCCTCAGCAGGGACTATCATGCCTGCAGTTTTGACCCTACTGTGGCTTAACACATACAAGTGACGTGAGTTTTTTGCTTTCAAGATTTTGAGGTGCAGTTTCCCCCAAACCCCTGCACCTCTCTCATTGAAACTTGGCAGGCTTCATGCCCTCAAAAGGGGCTACCATTCCTGCAAGTTTCATCCAAATCAGGCCATAAATGACAAAGTTACAGGCTGTTTCAAGCTTCCCCATTATAGCCTATGGCTGAAACACTGAAACAACGAAACTGTTCCGACTAAACAAAATGGAACAATGGTTTCAAAACCAAACACTGTTGCATCAAAACGTCAAAACACAAGTCGAAATGGAACGGTGTAATTTCACACGGCCCTAATATCTATCTGCCACTGAAATGCAGTCACTACAGAGGCTGGGTATCAGCACAGGGTGACCATGCATGAAATTTAGGATGGGAAACTACAAACAGAATGACTATGGACCTGTGTACCTATTGCTCCAACATTCTGGTTACGTTTTTTGAAACTTAATTTATTAGGATGCAGTGAAATGCAACACTGGTCGCTATACCTGGATTTGATGGGAAACACTGGTTTGGATTAGGGCTGAGCCAATGGGGAGTGGGGGGTAGTTTGGGGCTTTTCTTAAAAGATGTTTAGGTTTAGGAACAGTCCTAAATGCCTTCCTGTTCCAAGCTTTCCCAAACAGCAGCATAGTAATACTCACCTAACCACAGTTTCTGAATAGGCGTACTAAAATTCACCATACTTGTTTCGTTTTTCTGAAAGGCTCTTTGATAAGAAGTGAGCAGCAGCAGCAAAGATATTGCCAAATCTACAGGCATGACACTGAGAAGCAGTTCACTTTTGAAATGAGACCTTTTCCAACCAGGGAATTACTTTAAGAACAAAAAGGCTTAAACTATAAACAATGTCTTTGGCTCCTTCACTAACAAACAACATTTTCTTACTAACGCACTGCACGTAGGCAAATCATGTTTCAAGCACATGTTTATCATTGAGTAAACAATCACTGATGCTCCTAAATGCGGTACTGTGCTTTCATGCAGCTCAAAATGGAAATGCTATTTTCAGAGCAATCACTGGGTTTACATTAAGCTACAACAGGGCTACAGCCAGGGGCCACACAGTGGAAGTGAAGCCTGGGCAGCTGCTGCACCGCACATGCACATGGCTTCTGCCCCCCCCCCAGCTGTGGACATGTGTGCAGCAGGCAGAAGCCAGAAACGAAGCCCAGTGCCCCTGGCTGCTGCTGCCACAGCAGGCAGAAGCAGTGCAGATTAACCCCTTGCAGACCAGGGGCAGCCTGCAGGCTGTCAGACAGTCCTGAGCTACAGTGTCTTTCAAACACTGACATGCTTGCTCATACTTCAATCAAGAATTTTCTTAAGCTACATTTCTGAAATCACACTGGAAACAGATACTGCATTTAGCATATAGCAAGTGAATTGAAAGCGATCTTCACCTACAGTTCAAGCTGTTAGAAGTTTAACTAATGACAGCATTCCACCTGAATGAAACCTAACTAGCTGTGTCAGCAAAGCCCACACCACTGCTCTTCTTAACCAAGTCCTGTCCAAAACGTAACAGGGGAACCAGGCACGGTAAAGAAAAAAGAGAGAAGGTATGTTTCAGAAAAATTCAGAAGTCAGAAAATGTTTAAAGTTTAGGAAAACAGGATTTTTTAAAAAAACAACTGCAGCTTTAAAGAGACACCACTGATATTTAACGCACAATTTCTCCCTATATTTTGCATCTGGATAATCTCATAAAGCTGTCTTTCCGTTGCAATAATAAAGCTGTAGAAGGTTGAGGGGGCAAAAGGGCAATTATAAAAAGCAGTAGCAGCAGCAGCTGGACTAAACTGTCTCATAGCATATCCCTGAAAATACCTTCATGTTGCAAAGGTCTGTTAGTTATTCCATTCAAAATGTGTGCATGGTTAATTGGCTACATAAAAGTCTTTTCTGTTTTCCAAAAGTGTAATAAAAGAATGCAGTCAGCGATATTTGTTTGTTATCAGAGAAAATTAGAGGTGTTACCAGCAGAGTGAAAGGAAGTCAAGCAGTTTCACCAAACTGGTCTAAGGCTGCCTAAAAACAAGTTAAGAGCATGGCTCAGAGTATACCTCCCTTTGAAAAGTATAGTCTTTGCTATTTTGGCTTGGTGAAAATCCATTCATCTTTCACTTTCCACTGTATCAATTGAGATAGAATAATGCAGAGTTTTAGGTTTATCGCTGTCCATTGCCTTACACAGCATGGTTGACAGTAAGAGATTCCTGACATGCCAGATCCAGAGTCTCTTATCTGTGAGAGGAACTGAGTTGCTTCTTTTTGGCTGCATGTTATTATAATTTCTAGAGGTTCTGCAGACCCCATTCTGCCCTGTTATATTTTCAAGCAACATTACTGTCTTAACACCACATTCCTTTTCAGCTGCACAAGCCTGTGTCTTTGAAAGCAATGTACAGGTAAAAATGAGAGTCAAAGTCTGCCTTTGAAGCTGGAACTGAAACAAGTCCGTGTCAGAGCCTACATGGGCTCAGTCTGCTCTCTCACCCATAGGAGCATAGGCTCTACCCAGCTAAATCTGGGAAGGAATTGTAAAGCTAGTCACTAAAACCTAGGTAAACTGGTGCCAGACACACAAATACATGTGCTCTGCCTGTGGAAAAACAGGCAGACCTCTGGTTACCTACTGAGATATACTAAATAAAAAGGCATCATTTCTACATAACCACACCTGAAAGGCAAATGTAAGCATTGCCCTATCATATTGTGAGAAGGGGTGTTAAGCCCCAACTTGCAGTCAACCTCTCCAGGAGCGACTCTTGTTCAGTGCTGTAGTACAGGCCTTCACCTTTTTCAGGTGCAAATCATACAACTGCACTACTCAGAGACTGGGTCCTCTGTTTCAGCACCCCTTTGTCTCATCATGGGTATAAATTAATTTAGATTCCCACTACTAGAGATAGAGTGATGCACCCAGCAGCTGTTTTAAGCAACAACAGTCTAGCATTTATTAGCCAAATGAAAGACAATACATTGAGCCCTTGGTTAGAATGGAAAAGCAAAACTTCAAGGCCCTGCTGGAAGAATCACTTGCTTGGCTCTCCCAAGGCCTCCTGCCTTTCTATCTCCATCTTCCCTTCCGCAACCAGCTCCCACCAACCTGATCCTACAAGTTCCCCTTCCTGGGTTGTCTGTCATTACTGTCTAGTCAATGGTCTTTCATTGTATTGCTGAGGCAATTTTATTCATAGGGACAGATCCTAATTGTTCACTCAAACCAATCTAGACTCCCCACTGCCTGTGTGATGCCTTCCTATCCGTTATCCCGGGAAAAAAAATAACTCCTTCAGTTCTGACAGATGATAATATGGAGACACAGGTAAGCAGAATTGACCCCACTGTCCTTATGTTTAAACAAAGCCCTTCAAAAGGCCCAAAGCTTACTATTTCTCTGCAGCAGTCACACAGCTATCTTTAAAAGATTTATTCTAACAGAATAAAATTTTAAGAAGCTAATCACTCAAGTGCATCACTGTGCTGTATCAAAGCGTCTGCTGCTCATCAATACGGTTCTTTAATAATCTCTTCCCAAAATATTTACTGTACTCAAGTCTCCCTTTAACTAGAGCAATTTGTACTTTTCAAAGCAGTCTCATCCAATTCACAATCTAAGGAAGAAAAAGGCTCAATAAAAATCTTTAATTTTCTGTCAGGAACATTTCTTGATGACCCAGGGACCGGATAACTGTTTCAGCCATACAACAAGGTTAGTTTACTCAAGAGTTTTCTAGCACAGCTTGTCACCCTCTGGCATTTCTACTGTATTACAAGCATGCTTTCATATTCTGTACCACAACTTACCTTTCCCGAGGAACAGCAAACCAGTACTCTGGCTGCTTAATCTTTTTACCATACTGCTGTGCCATAGTGGTGCTCTGTGTAACAAAAGACTTTCTCATGGGCTTTCCCACTTTGATACACAGAAACATCGGAGGAGTCTTGCTTTTCTCTTCTTTTGAAGGGAGCATATCTGAACCACAGAGACAAAAGAATCAGTCTGCTTACAGTACAGCATCTGCAGCTAATTACATATGGTTCCAAATTCAATCTCTTTCTAGAAAGGGATAGTCAAGAGTACAGTAAAGCTGTTGAGTCACATTGCATCTGCTCTGGGGAAAGCACTGACAGATACCTTTTCAACTAAACAATGGTTCTCAAGGTCTGTCAGTGGACACAACTGTTTCCCAAACAAATAAGGGGAAAATCTGTTTTTTGGGGTGGGTTTGTTAATGGTTTCTGAAATCCAGGCCTGCACACAATTCTCCTTTCCCAGCAGTGTAAATCATAGATATCTCCACTGAAGTCAGTAAAATTCATTGCACTGGTTTCAGACCTGAACAGGAAAGAACTGGGTCTTTAAACTTGTGGAAAAGGTGTTACATACACACGTTACCTAAACTGGAATTTGATTTTGGGTTGGGGCCCAGGGAATGCCATATTTACAAACACCCACCTTTGCACTTCTAGTTATCACAAAAACCAATTACTCAGCAAGAATGTACTTTTGTGCCTACTCACCACTTCTTTGGAGGTCCATACAAAACATGCATGGACTGCAATGTTTTGGATTTTGCATACAGGAAACACCAAAGGTTTCAGCAAATCTGTAGAGCCTGCCTAACTAACAGTAAAATAATTTTTATACCATAGTGTGTTACATTACATACTACCTGTGGCTGACATTTTATTGCATTCTTTATGTGCAGGTCATTGTGACAAAATGCAGTCTGAAAGGAGTTTCTGAACATAAAGCATATTAACATTTTCCAAACTCAGCAGCCCAACTAATTTGAAGGGAACCTTTTTCTCCTCTACTGCTTTTTGACTGAGAGTTTCTAGGGCTGACGCTTCATATTGTAAAATGCCACTCAAACTGCATTAAGAGGACATTTATAATAGAAAGATCATTTCACAACTATCAGTAGGATGATTCTGGCTAGCTTTCATCATTCATAGCAACAAACGCATACTCTGACCTACCTTCAATTGGCGCTTGAATTTTCTGCAACAGCCACAGTCTGATTTCTGCTTTATTGTCTAACTGTGTTTCCTCGCAGGTCTTGTCCACTGGTGATACTAAGAGAGAATCCACAGACTTTTTAAAATCCTTCTCTTCTGCTGCAGCTGAGCTGACTTTTAGTGAAGACTCTTTCCTTTCAATGCAACTGGAATCAGACTCTGCACGTATAACTGTACAAAGACCATTGGCTTGGGAGTCTGAACAGTTAAGTGTGAGGTCTATGCCAACCACTTTATTATTTTCATCTTCATGCATTTTAGCTTTACGCAAATCTTCAGAAGACTGTGACCCGTCTTTGTCTTTACCAAGGTAAAATTCTATAAGTTTGTCCTTCTCTAGATCCTTCTGTGTGTCCACTGTAGTCTCCACTTTAGCTGTTGGGGAACCGGCACATTTGTTTACTTCTGGCACAACATCTTGTTTCTCGCACAGTTCTAAATCTAGGTCAGCTTTGGGTTTAACATTGTTTTTTGTTTCAGACAAATCAAGTGTCAAATGCTCCTGGACTTCTGAAACAGATTGGGTGACTTGCAACTTTGCTTTACCCATCCCCTTAGAGTCAATAGGAAAACTTTCCATTGCTCCATCCTTTCTGTCCAATTCATTATCGGTTTGAGATGGGGTCCCCACCAGTTCAACAAAATCTTCATCTCCTCCCAGAAAGGAATTTTCTTTGGTTTTGGATTCTGAAGCTTTTTCTCCCAGGGGCTCCTTTGTATGTATTTCTGCAGATCTTTCAGATGGTTTAATGGAGGTAACAGCCTTGAGAGGTTCCAGTGACTTACTCCTAACTGAAATGGTACTCTCAGGAGATTTGAGCAGTTCAAAATCAGTAGGCTTCTCCTCATCTGAAGGTTTTATTGTTTTGGCATCTAGTGCACTGGAGTCATCTCCATTCTGCTGCCTCTTCTCCTTGTTAAGGGACTTAAACTTGCTGAAAGGGTTGATATCTTTCTCAGAGGAAAGGTCTTCCCACTCTCCTGGCCTGTACAGAGGACAAAGATCCTTTGGTATGTCACTGTCAGGAGAAATGGTGGATGCAGATGGGGTGTTAAAAATAAAATGAAAACCAAACAAAATGGCAAAGAAAAAAAACTTAAATTATGTTAAAATAATTTAAGCATTAAAACAACAGAAATGGCTTCCTTCAAAATAAAATACAAGCCAACTAAAACAAGTGATATCAAAAAAGGAAGAAAATGTAGGAACTTAAAAAAGCGGAACTATGTATGCCATGTGGGTGAAGAAATGGTACATACATAACTATAAGGATCTCTCAACTACGCAGCTGGTCCAGTAAAAGATATCACAAAAAGCCTTGCCTCATAACAAATCAACAGGAATTCAATAGTTAAAAATTATGGCCCAGATCATCAACTCATGGAAAATTATAAGTTCATGGGAGTCTTCTTAACTGCACTTATTTACTGATCAGCTGAGGATCACTCCTTTTGCTACTTCTCTCCATAGATGAAGGAAGAATCGTATGTCTATGGCCATGAGCCATGATCTTTAAGTATCTGCTTCTCTAACAGGGAAGATATAAATTTTTGAAAGGCAAGCAAACCACAGAGAACCTCTACACATTAATGCACTTATACTACTTCACTACTGAATGGTAAATGTTCTTAAAAGCATTAGAGTCTCTCTTATTGCTTTTATTATTACCCTAATGCTAAAGGCTGATCATTTGAGTGCAGGGTTTCCCCAAAGACTTTAGCAACAGATAAGGCAAGCCATAAAACAACTGCTAAGTGGAAATATCTCGGAAATATAAAAACAAACAGCTCAAGATCTTTATTTGCTATTACCATATATCAAAGATGAAGAGAAGAACAACAGAGAATAAAATCTTAGAAGGCTTTCATCTCCTAGAAACCAATATGCAGTGGTGATGAGTGTGGTATAAAGACCTAGGCAAAGGAAACCCTACATAGGATTAATAATCTTCATTCAAGTTCTGGAATATGGTGGCCATTTTTTGGTGGGGGAGAGCAGAGAGAAGGTGTCTCATTTATTTGAACAGCAGTCTGTTCAGAACAGAAGAAATCTTTACCTGGAGTGTAAAGATACATTTTTTCTACAGCACACATATGAACAGCATGTATCACCCAAAGTACATTGAAGTGAAAATACCAAAAAAAAAAAGGGAAATATGTTCTGTATTTAAAAAAAATCTAAACTATCAAATTATTTTTAGTCCCTGCATAGGAGTATTCTGTGGACTGAGATCTTCTGGGTTTTGTGGGAGGTAGGAACTTAACTGCTGCTGGAACAATAAGTTTGAAATGATACCTATATCCCATCATGTCTCTCCCCAATCACAACAGTGACAATATGATCCAAATTAATTAACAGTATTATTCAATGGTCTTTCTGCCAAAATTGTGAAATATACTCCTAGAGAACTTTGAAGAAACCAACCCCTTGGGAAAAAAACTGAAAAAAAAAGTTTACATAGCATGCCTTCATTCATTTTCACCTTCCTTCTTTACTAATTTAGCTTTTATATTCATTGCCTAGTTATGGTTTACTACCATGGGAAAAGTTTCTTTCTTTGTTCATGCTTCATAGACAACAAGGAAAGCAGAGAGATGAAGATAAAAAGTATAGGTGGTTTGTATCTTCTCCTCAACCTTTTCTACCTCCTCCACTCTTTTTTTCTCTTCATTACTGGTAAGATGTAAACAAGATCAGCAAAAAACACTCCTTACGATGGCAGGGCATCTTTAATCTTCATGTGGGAGATATCATTGTAGAGCGCTATCGAGACAACCTCTTCCATGGGGCAAATGAGCCCATACTCTTCACAACCATTCTCAATTACCAGAGGATCCGACTTATGTGGGTCAAACATGATGTTGTTTGGAGTCACTATCATGACACCCCCAACTACACCCTGAAAATAAAAAGAAACAAAAAGAGTTAACACATCAGACCTATCACTGACCAGAAGACTCAAGCAATCAGTAGTACAGCATAACCTTTAGAGGCTATCTGCCAACATAATTCTCTCTCTCACTCATCTCTTTGTACAACTGTAGAGTACATGTTTTCTAAGAGACCACTTCAGCTCCCAGCTGCAGGGGGATAGATATTACAAGAACAGCAAATAAAAAGATCCCTTTCTAATACTCAAAGTTCTTGGCAGACAAGGACAGTGTCATAAAGAGGAATCAAGATACTTAATTTTCATCCCAGGTTGCTATGAACTAAAGCCGCTTATTAATTAAACAGAGAAGAAATATTTGAGTTTGTCTGTCTTGTTTGAACCTACCAGCATCCTTTAATTTTGGATACTCCACCATGATCTATTTATTTATTAGACTTATATCCCACCCTATCCAAAGAGCTCAGAGATGTTACAATAAACAAACAAGCAACTCAGCGATAGGATTCCCCAAACAAGTCGCCTGAACTTCAGAACTCCAATTCCCCCCAATCTCCACAACTATAAATTTTCCCTGAATAAACCCCCATATGGGCAACCCTCTGGCTAATCCCAACCATGATTCCCAACCACCACTACGTTAACAGCCCTGCTGCAACCTGGTAGCATGCATTTCCGTATGCACACACGTGCATGTACGCAGAGTTCTACCTATGCCAAGGTTGTCATTCCAGCAGCAATCTAACCTAGAGTTTTCCATCCCACTGATGTATTCTTCAGAAAGCCATCTGATACATGGATTTGTTGGCATACGTTACAGAGAACCAACACAGAAAGTCTAGGGAACTCATCTGTTTACCCAGCTACCAAAGGTTTTCTAATTCTTGGAAATGACTCCAGTTGTGGTTTGGATAAGATATTGAAGAAACTTTGTAGACAAACAGTAAAACTCAGAACCTCTAATCACTTGGAGGTTTTCAGACCAGACTTCCAATCTCCACACCCTAGACTGGTACTCATGGATGGCCTGTTAGCAAACTACATTCATATCCACATTTTCAGCCTGCACTAAATTCCATCACATCAGTCTGTCAGCACATGACAATTAAGTGTTAAAAAGATTGACTGAATGCCAAAAGTATTATTAAGTGAAAGGATCACTCAATCTCCAAGCCATGCTAATGAAGGACAGAAGGCAAGTGGCCAGAGGAAGGAAAATCAAGTGCTAGTGTGCGGGCTAATTGGGTTCTGCCATTCACATCCAATGGCACCTAAGTCACCGCTTGCAATGCAGAGAGTAGAACACCACATAATTATACTATATTAGGTACTTAGGCACAAGGAGAAACATTAAAAGATTAGGCTCTGCTCTATGTTATATTGACAAAGAACAAAAGCCACTTTGCATTGCTGTGGTGTGAAGAAACATATGGATCCTGAAATCAGATTTGGGCTCCAAGAAAAAAAAGATGGCATCATGTTTTGTGAAATGGAACTCAAGAACAAGCAAGCATCATACAAAAAACAAGCAAATAAACACTACTGTACTTGCGAAGCTTAAGACACTGCAATATTCTGCTAAATTTACAGAATAGCAGGCTAAACAATTTCTAAATTAGTAAAAAGTGTACATTCCATGGCCACTCAGGATCAGCAGAAACCAGACACCTGAATGTAAATGAGTAAATCTTATATAAACATTAAGACAAAGGCGGGGGGGAGGGCTAGATTGAAACAACCATCTCAATATTTATTACTGACATTAGATAACTTGAAAATCCAACAAGCAAACATCTTATACTGAAGACTTCAATGGGAATCAACAAGGATAGATAAGATAAATAAGGTAAAGATAAGATAAATAAGGGAGGATGAAGTCTCCAGGAGTGAATTGCAGATTTAAGATGATACCTTAGCCTTGTACCTTTACATTTAAAAGACTAAAAAGAGTTCAAGAGGTTGCAAATGAAATACAATGGGAAAAAAAAGTCACGTCCATTTGATAAATCCTTCACAGAACTTGTTGAGACCCAGTGAACTCGGCTCAAGTGGACAAGGAGTAGCTGAACCACGCAGATGATTTTCCTAACGAATTGGACAAGGTCCCTACCACACCCGAAAGGAAACCTTTCCAGTAAAAGTCTAAAGGAGGAGATGGGTGGGAAGGAAGAACTATCCTACCATCAAGCAGTCATTTTACTAGGTTAATTCTTTAAAAAAAAGAAACAAATACTGTGTGCTAATATACCACACATCTATATAGTATTTAATAATAAAGAACACTTCTACAAAGTGGCTGTAGAACCTACTATTAGTCTTTCATTTATCTAATATATTTCACTCTATTAAGGATCTCAAATCAAACACAAGTCCCAAGTTCTGCTTACCTTACCATCCGTGAAGTAACGACAGTTCATTTTTAAGAATTTGACAATAACTGGTTCATCCTCTTCAGAGGTAGAAGACAAGACTCTTTCGATTGGCTTGAAGGCCTTTCTTGCCAAGTCAGCATCCTTTAAAAAACAAAAGCCTCAGTGCAGAACAACAGGATGGAGAGTATATTCAGAGCCTCTCCAATTTTGGAAAATTAAATACCAAGTTTCATTAACAATTTTCCTAACGTCTTATATTGCATAACCCACTGAGTATGAGAACATTTGGATTATAACATCATAAAAGAATCTCTAAGTACAGGAGACAGGAAAAATAAGAACAACTCATTGCACGGTTTTCCAATTAGATACTTAGTCAGAGGCCCAATCCTACAATACAACCCATATGGGAAAATCCCTGTGCATAGTACAGCCCTAGTGATTTTAAAGGAATTCCTGTGGGCACAGGAGTCCTTCATATGGATCAGCTTGTAGAGGAGTGAGGCTTAACATTTTGAGTGATTTCTCAGATTTGCATGTGGAAGAAATTAGCTGCTTCAAGGCTGCCACAGAAGTTTCTAAACTCCTTGAAGCAACTTGCTCAAAACCTGATGAGTCAACACAGCCCGTCATCATTCCAAGGTAAAAGAAATGAGAACAATCCCATTTATCATGTTGGAACCATCCACAGAAAGCCTTAACACCAGAGGCCTGGTAAACTAGCAGCATCCAATGAAATAAGCTGCTCCTTATGAAAGCCTATACCTCCCTGATTTAGTTAGTCTGTAAGGTGCAAATTTACCTGCCTTCTGTTTCACTTCAGACTAACATGGCTACATATCTCTTCCCACTCTTTGTAGCCAACAACAATCCTAACTATATCTTTAAAAGAGTAAACTAGCAGGCTGTACAAACAGAAAAATGTATATGCAGGTTTTTGTATGTGCATTCGAATCTGCCAAGCAGAATCGGGTCACAAAATCATTGGACGCAGGTGTCACGGTAGATGTAGTCTTTCTGGACTTTAGGAAGGCCTTTTACACTGTTTCCCACCCCATTCTCATTAAAAAAAACTAGGTGACTGTGGCATTAATGCCTACACAGTCAGATGGGTCACAAATTGGCTGAGGGGCTGCACCCAGAGTGCTGGTGGACGCGTCATATTTGACCTGGAAGGATGTGGACAGTGGGGTCACCCAGGGGTCGGTCCTCGGGCCCGCACTGTTTAATCTCTTTATTAGCAACTTGGACAAGGGCATGAAAAGCACCCTGTTCAAATTTGCTGATGACACCAAGATCTGGGGTGAGGTGGGCATGCTAGAAGGGAGGGACAGGATACAGCTGGACCTGGACAGGTTACAGGGGTGGGCGAATGAGAATAGGATGGGATTCAATACTGACAAGTGCAAAGTACTGCACTTAGGCAGTAAGAACAAGCATGCATCCACAGATGCATCACAAGCAGGGCCAAGGAGGTGATCCTTCCCCTCTATGTGACACTGGTCAGGCCACAGTTGGAGTACTGTATCCAGTTCTGGGCGCCCCACTTTAGCAGAGATGTGGCCAGCATGAAGGAAGTCCAGAGGAGGGCCACTTGCATGATCCAGGGACAGCAGGGCAGGCCCTACGAGGAAAGGCTACATGACCTGAACACTTAGGGCTTAATCCAATTCCTACTGGAGTTGGTGGGAGTCTGATAGAGCCCTTGATGGTCAACAGTTCTCTCAGCAATGAGGAATCAGGGTGGTGAGTTGGAAATGGTTGCAGACCCTGACTGCAATCTCATCCCACAAACCATCCTCAGAACTAGCAGGTAGAACAGGGTTCTGTAAATATAAGAACAAACAAAAAAAAGTTACTTACAGGAAGTTTATCATATTCGGCATCCGATGAGGAAGGAGAAACAGGGGCACCAGGACTGGAAGAAGGAAAACTAGCAGCACTGAAATGGTGGTCAGTATCAGGTACATATAGAACCTGTTCAAAGGGTATAGTAGATGCAAATAATTTATTTTAAAAGCATTTCCATACGAAAGAAAAACAAAGAGACAGGTTATATAAAAACTCTGGCCATCATCCTGCAATGGAATCCATGTTGGAACTAGGGATGTGAAAGGTTAAACGTTTAACCCTTCACATATTGATTTCATATTTACATATTGATTTAATATATTTAATTCCTTCAAAAACAGTTAACGTTGTCTGTCTTAGAGAAAGCCTGACCCTGCAGTGAGATTTGTTTTTTTATCCTACAGTTACATTACACAGCTGTCGTTCACAGTCCTACCCAATTCCCTAAACAGAGGAAAAAAGCACCTCTTAAATATAGAGCAACGACTCAGAATTTCAGAAGTATTCAAAACTTAAGATTTACCTGTCCTGGAACAATTGTGTGTGTGAACAGTTTATTGAGTTCCACAAGTTTGTTTGGAGTAATGTTAAACTTCAGTGCTATGCTATTTAGGGTGTCCTGAATTCCAGCCTGAAGAACAAAAGGTTACAGTTTAAGGTATGGCAGTGATCAAATATCAGAAAAGTACAACTGAAATAAACTTTATTTAGTACATCATTTCTAAGGGATTGACATAATGTTCCAATATATTTGCTGTTTCATAGTCTACTTTTCCATAAATGACAATTAAAAAGCAGTGTCTTTGCGTTTAACAATTCCTCTGCAATAGAAAGTATGATAAACAGAACAGTTAAAATCTGTCTCATTTTTTCAGAAAACTTAGTTAAAACATCCTTTTAATTAAATCAGCATCCCAATTAGAATTGGTTTGGGAAAAAGCGGTGAGCATATTACATACACACACACACCAAACTATAATTCTGTGTAAGCTTGATATTCACTGTTCTCTAAGCCATCCCAGCCGTGAAAAGTCTAAGCCTATTCTCAACTGATACACTGAAAATGCAGTGTACTGGCACCCACGTGCAAGTCGGGTCAAGAGTTCCTCCTGTGTGCAAAAGATAAGGACATCAGAGGCTTTTATAATGCAGCTAATTTCTGGTACAAAGGCAGCACAGATCTTCAGCATTCCAAATAGAAAAGAGGAATCGCACAACCAGCTCAGAGTCCAAAGATAGTCCTGCTGTAGGGCTTAAACCAATGAGTCTCAACCAGGGTGCCACAGCACCCTGGGGTGCCTTCAGATCTTTTCAAGTGGCATGCAATGTTCCCACCATTAGCTGTACAAAGACAATTCGCAAGACTAACCCAGAGATTCCAAAAAGGTATCCATAGTGTTAAAAACATTCTGACCTGGTGTGATGTTTCCAAGTTCTTTGCAACAGAAGAACTGCTCTATTATTTTTCTTTAGTAAAAAAGAGGGAAAACTAAGAGATGGCATTTTCCAAGGGGTGCCTCGAACCTAACAAGGTTGAGAACCACTGGCTTAAACTATACTGCATGGGACAAACTATTAAATGGTCATTCTGTGGCAGTGAAAATATACAGGACAGGAATGCCTATGCATTATACATTAGAAAAAAAGAAGTGATGTCTACAGTATTTGACTGATTTTCTATCAGCTTCAGTCTTATTTGTTAAACAATATTACTGATGACCTAACTACACAAGTACTTACAGTATATTCCACAGTACCATGGGGTTTCTGAGAAACCATTTTTTTCTCTTTCTTTTCATTGGTTTTGTTTTGATTGTCATCTGGGAAAGAAACCAAAAATTATTTAAAATTAACTGACTTTCAAGCCACTAGTCTGCCAATATTTCAAGTGAAAAGATTTAAGTGGATGTAAACTATACTTGTGACCAAATCATGTACAACAGTAACAGCTCAAATACAGACCCACGTTAAGCCCTGGAAATTGAACACATGGCCAAAAAGAATAATCAATGTTGGTAGATTCCAATTAACAAGTTAAAATCTCTTAACATTATCTCCCTAGCACTGCTAAAAAAAGCCTTTGAGGGAGTTCTGTCAATCAACAAAGATCAGATTAGATGTTAGATAAAGTACATGCACATTTTTGACCTACACAACTAGAAGGAAAGAGTATGTGGTTATATCAACTGTTTATGCATCTGTAGGATGAGGAACGACTGGAATATTAAATTAAAAATCTAGATCAGTACTACTCAGTATATCAATGCATTTTAATCCTCAAGGCAGACAAGGTTCTTTGGGTAAATCTGATATCTTTCATTAAACCAACTCAAATAGTTGGAAAAATTCTTCTCTGCAAGCTTTTGGGTATAAATACCCTTCGTCAGGCTGAGGAAGCATCTGCAGCTAGTCTGTGCTCTTCCTGGTTGGGATGAATAGTAAAGAAACCAGAGGCTGATATGCATGCAAGATTCTGGCTTCTTTACTATTCATTCCATCCAGGAAGAGCACAGACCAACCACAAATGCTTCCTCAGCCTGACTAAGGGTATTTAACCCAAAAGCTTGCAAAGAAGAATTTTTCCAACTATTTGAGCTCGTCTAATAAAAGATCAGATTTACCCAAAGAACCTTGTCTGCTTATGTCCTTAGACCAACACAGCTACAACCTATGCCCCTATTTTAAACCTCAAAGTACTCGTCATCTAAGGCCCCCGCAAACACAGTGCTGGTACATGGTAGCATGGTATATAAATGCTTGTGTAATCAGAGCCACAATTCTCCACACTAAATGTTAAGTAGGTTAGCAGTAGTACCCTCCTCTTTGCACCATGTAAGCAACAGACCCAAGGTCTGAGAAAGAGGAAAAGCAGAGCTGGAAGTAGAACTCTAGTACCGTAGCTGCCCAACCATCAGCTAGATGTGTGGAGTTCTCAATGACTTCAAGATAAAGTACAGTATATAAGTAACTTCTACTGATATCTAGTGTAAACTGTCTCTGCTCTTTTCCCAGGCCTAAGGGAGGAGCGTTTGTGCCTGAAAGCTAGTCTAGCCTTTCTTCCATCTATACAGCTGATCTAATAAAAGAGACTGCCAAACAAATCTTGCTTCAAGATAACTGTGTAAGTGCACTTTTGAGCTCCATTAGGCTCTGATCCTATTAGAGTGTGCCCCTACAAACAAGGCCTACTGGAGTCAGCAGGACTCAGCATGTGCTGACCCCATACAAGAGCAGAACACTGAACTTGTAAACAAACATTTCCACCTTTTAACCACCTGGTTCAAGGATTCATTTGAAAAAATAAAGCTGAACCTCAGCATGACAGAGTGAAACAGTCAGGCAAACATTTCAGCTATTTCAGAGATAAACCCTATACCCAAACAAAGATAAACCCACCTAAAGACACATACAGATCCATGATAAGAGAATGGCATAGATTGTAAAAGCACTGATGGTGTTATGACATTCCTTCCCAATCTACGTTCATGGGGGACAGCTAAGAACAAATACAACCAACCCAACATGAAAAAAAGTGTGTGAAGGGGCCTCATCTTTGCTTGCAAAACCACCATTTTCAAAGGGAGTTTGGGGTGTGAAGAACAGCCCAAGGAGAACACGAGGCCAACAATGGTCAACTTCTACACTAAGCTACCATAGTCAGTCTCCAGGCATGTTAGAACATAAGAAGTGCCATGGTACTGTGTCAGATCAGAGGTCCATCTTGCCACGGTTTATAGCACTGTGATGGACCTAAGCCCATGATCTTTCAGCACATCAAATAGGCTTGTGGTTGCTGAAAGGCCAAGTGGACATGGTTTGACCAGGGTTTTTTCCACTGTCCCTCTCTCCTTTGCAACCATGCAGCATTTGAGGTCCAGGAAGTTACGATTCAGAGGCTGTGCCCCTAACTCCCATGCTCACTAGCTAGTAGCTACCAGACCAAGCAGGAGGCTCTGGCTGCGGGGAACCTAGGCGAGTGAGCAGTTGTTTTCCTTTCACTCGTCTACTCAAGTCTCCAGGCAGGTCTCACTGGTCAGCGTCCACAGGCTCCTTGACTCATTCACAACACAATCGGCTTAGGCTGGTGTGCTCTGCTAGGTGTCTCCTTCCAGCTCTCTTATCAACCTTTTCTGTTTATTTGTCCCAAGAAATCTGCTGGAAGAGCCCGTAACTGGCTTCCCTTATTAAGGGAGGCTTGTAGTTTCTCACTGGTCACTGGCCCACACCTTTCCTTTGGCCTATCAAATAGGCCTGCATCACACCATGGCTGTGTCCAGCGGGAACCAGCTATATGATGTTTGGTTGCAAACCTCCTGTCCCTTGCTATGAAAAGAGAAGTCAAGACAGGCCCAGGCCCAGGCCCACTGGAAAACTATTTCAAGCTTGTGCCATCCTCCCCGCTCCCCTCCCCCCAGACCAGGGCCCAGCAGAAGGCATGGGCTACACCAAAGCCCCCCTACCTAGCACGAGGTAAGGCTGCCTGCAGTCGAGGCACCAGGAGAGGTGCTTTGGCATGTCATCCAGCAGGCTGCCTTTGGGCCTTGAGCTGCCAGGATCGCGGGCTATGGCTTCGGGCAAGGACTCGCAGCTGTCCCCATGGGCGGAGCTGTACCCAGAAGATGACGCCACCTCCTCGCTGTTCGGGCTGCTGCAGGCCTGGGGCCTGAGGCCTGTGGCAGGAGATGGGCAGCGAGTGCAGCAGGCGCCTGGACCGTGCATGCAGCAGCAGTGCTCCGCTGCAAACATCCTCAGCACAGGAGACGGGGAAATCTAGTCACATGCACAGGACCAGAAATGCAGCAAAGCCAGGCTGGCCCCTTGCCTGGCACAGCCCCCCCTCCACCTCAAGGTCCTGCTGTCGTCTAGACAGGGTACATCTCTCTCCCCCTGCAAATGGCCTCCCCCTTCACTGAGCTCCAGGGAGATCCCTCCTCCCTGCAGCAGGGATCCACCACCCACACTTGCAGGACTGGAGCACCCTGAGCTGCTCTGCAGGTTAATGCTGCTATTTCAAGCAGCTGCAGCTATCCCTCTTGCTCTCCCTCTGCTCATCCACAGCAGCAGCAGTGTTTACAGAGTGGGGAGCAGCTCCAGGTAGAGGCAGCGAGTGCAACCCACGCATGCACCACCCCCAGCCCCAGCCCACCAAGAAGCTAGAACAAAGAAGCGAGTGGAGCCTCCCCCCTGCCCCTCCTTCCCCCCTGCGGCACATACTGCACGTCAAGCCCCAGCAGCCTGAGAGTTCCCCAGTCCTCCCACACGGGCCCCCTTGCTGGGGAATGTGCTGTGTTACCTCACGCCAAGAGCCAGAGGCAGCTACAAACCCTCCCAGCCCCCTTTCCTGGCTGTTTGAACAACCTTCTCAGCCCACCCACTGCAAGAGATTGTGAGGCAGCCCAGCCCCTCCTTGGTCACAGGTTCCTTTCTTCCCCCACACCCACACACATCCCCATTAGCAATGCTGCTTGAGGACGGGCACAGGAAAGGTGATCATATCCCCACTTCATCTAAAGGACATCTCGGATGTGACAAGCCCAGAGACCAGTTCCTTCTGCTTTTCATGTCCAGGCAGCAGTTGGGCATTTGCCCACGCTGGGCTTAGAAATGATTTTCGGGAGAGGTTAGTGCATTGCCACCAGGTGCTGTGGAAGCTCACTGTTCAGCCAGATTCGAAAAGAAGAAGAAAAAAAAAAAAAAAAGAAAGATTGAAGCAGTTCTTGGAGGAAAGGGGCATCAGTAGCTGTTGAGGATGGGAGTTAGGATACAGCCTCTGAATCAGGTTTTTATAAACTTTAAAGGCTGGAGGCTGCACATGAGAGACAACAGTAGGGGAAAAAATTAGAAAAAAAATCCGATCATACCCAGTTCACTCTCCTTTTCAACATCCATTCTCTGCCACTGCATGGCAGGAGACTGGACCAATAGTCTAGCTCAGTAAATGGCAGTTCTCATGTTTTTATGTAATAAACCACAGTAATTACAAGATGTAAAACAAGTAACTAAAAAAACCCAAAGAAACAACAACAACAAAAACAATTTCAGAGAGGCCTGAACCAGGTCTTATTTTCTTTGAAAGATTACATTAAGGGAAGAGGTATTACCCAATCATGTGGGGCTGATTTACACATTCTCTATCTTGCTCTGGTTAGCTGGAGCACAAGTAATTACCTACTTTAAGAGAAGGACTCTCAGACTTTGTCAAAGTGTGGACCATAGTTTAGGTCCAGAAAGACTTTAGGCATCTACAAAAAGACTGTAGATGCTCATGACCATAATGGTGATATACCTTCCATGCTTACCCAACCTCACTGAGCAGCTGCCTATCTATGGCAGTACCTAGATCAGGGGTGGGCAAAATATGGCCTGTGGGGCCCCTAAAGAATTTAGAAAATTAGTATTTATTTGCCTCTGGCTGCCTGTCATGCAGTGCTCAATGGCTTGCCAACTCAGTAAGTGGCCCTCCACCCGAAATAATTGCCCACCCCTGACCTAGATTGTCCAGAAGACCCCTTAGCACCTGCAGTACTGCTTTGAGGACACATCCAGAGATGCCTTCTTCTGTACAGCTTTGTGCCTGGTTCCTACTAGGTTCTGGATGGAGCTAGGCACTCAACCTGTATGTAGACAGTGGTTTTCAAGTTGGAGGGCCAAGTGCAGGGAGATTGAATAGGTGAATTCTGAGCCCATGTAACAAAAACAACTGCTCTGAGTTGCACATAAAACACAGCAGACATGTCCACCTTCATTCAACAACACAAGTGGAGGAGGAGGTAGAGGTTGTGGCAGTATGTGGCTCCCATATAACAGTCTGGTGGCTACA